ACGCGTATAATATATGAGGTGTGTTCGGTTTACGCATAATGCGCATGATGTTAAGTCATTGACGTATGGATATTCATACGTCAATGTGTTAAGTACATACAAGAACATCTCACAAAAATTATACATATTAACATCAACAGCGTACTATAAACGCAACTTTAATCGAAATGCAAATGTCTGAAAAGAATTAAAAATTCAATGTCTAAAGTCAATGTAATTTCACTTATAAAGAATTCCGTAAAAAAGATATAAACTGGTGGAATTAATTAATCACCGATAAATGCTAATTAAAACACTCGATTCAATATTTCGCGTATTATTTTCGCGATGGATTAATTTTAATAACCGATGAAGATTTTTAAGCACGGTGTAAGAGAGATTCATTCCAAGTTTGATCGTTAGGAAAGGTATCGCCCGTGTATTATTAAAATTAAAATAATTAATATAATTTCCTTATCGCATTTCTACTTGAAATTATGCGTAATATTCGTCTCGACAACTCACCGCAGTACGACAAGATTACGGATCGCGACAATAACTTATGCGCAATTGATAACTGGCGATAACTCTCGTTGGAGACGATCGCGGTGCGCAGCAGATTATCGAGATTATTGCAAGAAATAATCGCGTTATGAGAAGCGACGCGTAGGCACACGGAACATCCATCTCGCTCGAGGTTGATTGATTGATTCGAATAGACTGTTTTCGACCGAAATGTTTACAGCGTTCGGTCTATAGCACTACTTCATTTCTTGGAATCGATGCTCGGCGCTCGCGCAAAACATGATCACGCTGTACGCAGATCAGTCACGCGGCGACAGTCAAACGCGTCGCGGTTTTGCCCGCGCCGCTCCACACACCGTATTATTCTTTTTTGATACGCATTCGCGACAAGTACGGAGAGAAACCGCGATCGCTCTCTGCGAATAATGTGTTATGAATTTGAATTTACCGCGGAATATAATTAAAATAAATATTACGCGAAGTACAAAAGTTTTTCTATATTTATGACTGAATTTTATATTCAAATATAGAGTCACGAAGTGACGGCCAATACTCTTAAAAACGGAAGTAAAATTATATTTTGATCAGTTTTACGTGCATAACATTTTTCTAAATTAAGTTTCTCGAATTAAGTAAACTAGGCCCACGTCAATCCCACATTTGTCCACATTTCGAGACAAAACTGTATTCAAAACGGTATTCAAACCAGTGATGGGAGATTGCACGGAATCGTCTGCTACGGGAGACTTCGTGCGCATGCGTGAGATGACGTAGCAGCTCGAATCCAATGGTGGATGTAGGTGCCACGTTAAGGGGTCACAGGGGTCCCGTGCATGCACGAAGTATCCATTCCAATAGTTTTCCCGTGTTTATTCTGTGATAGTGTTTGTAATAATACATATTGATAATATAAATCAAAGTCGTAATATCAACCCATCTGCTTCGTTTACTGTTTCTAATAATAATACATTTGTGAACCATGATACTTTCATCAAAAGTTTTCTTCCCTAAATTCGCTTTCAGATTCATTTTCATGTTGGGAACCTTATGCTACCACATAATATGTACGTCAGTGAGGCTGCGCAGAAGTTTGCTCAATGCGCGTGCGCGTGAATTCCGTGCGATCTCCCATCACTGATTCAAACGCCGCGCCACGCAGTTGTCGAGAAGTTGTCGGTGCGCGCAGGTGGCGCAGCTGTGCTCGCCGGTCGACGAGAATAGGCGGCGCGACACCTCTCGTTCCTCTCGCCAGAGAGAAGCCGGATGTCGCCATTGTCGCCAGACGTCGCTCTGCGGCAGAAAAATCTCGACTTCGTGCGATTGCATTTCAATATGGCGAACCGCGACAAAGGACGCAGAAAGTGGGGAGGATTTTCACAAGGTACCTCTCGGCGGAAATGTCATTATTTCGCGGCTCGGAACGACCGGGCGACCTCACGCCGTCGCCGGCGCTCTCGCGCGTTTACCCTCGGTGCCCGAGTCCGCGACCTCGCCCCCGCGACCCGATCGGATCTAGCGTGCGAAATTAACCTCACTGTACGAGCTAACCTGCAAACCCAGCGGGGATTTCTGCGATGTCGCGTTACTCTATGGCGTTTGGCTGACGCCGCGATCGAGCCCGACGATCGCGTTGAGCTTGCCGCGACGTGGCCGGACACGGTGCTCTCGAGCCGCGATCGCCCTCCAACCGGGTGGCGTTTTCGTCCGCGGGGAGGGGACGGTTCCGCTTGGTAACTTTGAGCGTCGTCGAGAGTGTCAACACGAACGGTTCCGTGCGTTTCCGCTAAAGTTTGCATCGTGCTCTTCGCGATTTCTCCGAACTCGCTGCGTTTGTCAGGGACCGAGTGGTCGCGGACGCGACTCTTCGGACCTACGAGTAGGATGTTACGGGTCTGCGGGATCTTCGTCTATTGTCGTGTCAGCGGTCTCTAGTTGGTGCATACGATATTACGCGTGATATTGAGCAATTCTCTGAGTATCGCGCAGAGAAAATTGTGTTGGAGCGTCGTACGGTTACTTAATAATTACGTGCCTAAGGCCCGGCTTCGCCAACGTCGTTTGACTTTGAGCTTGGCTTAATTCGTTCTTTGTCTCTTTCTAGCTGTTACTTTAGAAAGAGACAAATATGAATTAAACTGAGATTGAAGTTGAGCGACGTGTGGTGAAACCGAGCCCAAATTAGAAGCTTACACGCACGCGAGACACTTGATTTCGTATTGACTGTCGGGTCAGATCTGCCTTCGTTTTGCATTGTATTATGCATATATTGAGAAAATACCGTTGATAGGGAAAATCTATTATTACAACGTTTATACGTGGGTGTAATTTATGTATATTCTGTATTATAAAATCGCTTATGCAATTGTGAAATAATTTGGTAACAATTTATACTTTAGTTATATGTATAAAATATTTGAATAGAACGTTGACGAGTATGCGAGATAGGAGTGAATTGAAGAGCTAGGATATTTCTAGAGTTTTCTGTATTGTAACAATTTTGCAGAATCAATGACTTCTAAATTGGAGAAGGACAGACTGGCGGGGATACGCGGCGGAGGGAGTAGAGCACCACAGGCCTTGTACACACCGGGTAGCGGCCCATTACGTAAGTCGGGCAGATCCGGCAGCAATGCCGACGAGTACGACAATGAAAATGGCTCGCATGGAAAATCCAGGCTGCCCTCCGTCCAGTATCATCCAAGACAGTCGCAACTCGGTAGAGCTAATCCGGCGCAGGACAGTCCACCTCTGTCACAAATCGACAATGTAACTGAAAAGTTGGATAACACCCATATTAACTATAGAAATAGCAGCAATATCGAGTCGACGCAGAGCACCGGCGGCAGCTCTGGCAGTGGGGCGGGTAGAAATGACCCGAGGAAGAAAAATAGGAAACCCGAGCAGTTGTTGTATGTGCCGAAGAAAGTGAAGGAAGCATTGGCTGAACAAGACGGAACCAATAGGTAAAGGATTGCGTCCTTTTTGTCCTTGTTGATCTTAAGATGCATAAAACTGTCTCGATGACAAAATAACGTCTAGTATGGAAGTGTTTGTTTTTACGTTATCCTACTATGAGCTGTCCATTTACTCTTAGATCTCCCAGCCATGCCGCGTGGGAACGAGAGAGGGAAGAGAGCAACGATCGCGACTCGCATTCCAATCGTAATCAGAGCGATCGCAGTCGAGCGAGCAGTTACAGCACGCGAGACAATGAAAGCAACGGCAGGGGTAGAGACGACACCAGTAAACGGTATTCGGGTAACCGTCGAAACCGCCACGCCAACGAGAACGAGGATCGTTGGCATTGGCGGACCCATTCACCGGTGTCCGCCAGAGACTGTTCGAATCGAAAGGACAATCTACGCGAAGTCAGACAGGTCTGTATGATTTAAAACAATGAAACTGTGATAACGGTATAAAATTATCATTCAGACGTTTGTATTAACGTTCAATGTGGAAAATATACCATTTTTTAATGCGTTGTTAGGGCTCGGAACCTTTATCTACCAACCAGAACGATTTTAATCGTACGCGAGACACTCGTAGTGTCGAGCCCGTTGGGCATTCGGATAAGTTTCAAGGCAAGCCACCCTCGGGCCGACGCGGCAATACAAAGGACAGTTTATCGAAAAGTATCAAGTTGGAGCACCTACCGCCACGATTTCAAAAGAAATATCTCATGGATAATGGATACGCGTTACCCAGCAACAATCCAGGAACGTCCTCGGAAGACACCTGGAACGGTAGCAGCATTACATTTCAGGTAATTCATTCAGCGCCATCTTATTTTTGTACTTTGCAAGTATTGATTTACATATATCCAGTATGGCGATTTATAACTGAAGTGACACGCGGATTGTATACTGTTAGCAGGGTTTGTCGAGTTATAATTATTCACCGGCGATGCAGCATTCGCAAACTATGCAAAATCTGCCACCGTCTGGATCGTTGCCATCGCAATCTAATTGGGCCAATACCGTACCGACGAGAAGCAGAGGTAGAGGTAGACTTAGACTCGAGGAACTGGATGGTACAGCAAGCAATACTTTCAGGCCTGTTACACCTGAACAATATTCTGCTCCAAGTTCCAGATCCCATACTCCTAGCCAGGAATATATGAATCGGTACGACTACTCGCTGTTATATTAAGTTTTCTGGTTAAATGATCGTGGGTACACGATCTGTAAAAGTTTTTATTGGGACATAACAGGTCTTACGATCGCCGCGGTAGCAATAGCACTATGTACACCAGTATGGAAAGCTTAAGTCGTGCCGACAGCGTAATGATGCCACCGCCGTCATCCGCATCGCCTGCAACTTCGCAATCAAATTCGAACAGAGGCCACAGATCACCTGAGAATCATCACAGAGGCCACAGATCACCTGAGAATCATCATAGAGGCGCAACCTCGCCGACGGACAATCGCACCACCAACACGTAATTATTGATGCAATCATTTCTTTTCCCTTGTGCTTTTATATGCGTTCGATAACGTTATGTTGTTAATTAAGGCAAAGAACAATCACCAGTAATGTCTACGAGCATAATTCAAGTCTAGATAAGCAGAATAATCAACCAGGCATGAATCTTAGCTCCACGAAAAGCGAATCGTGTAACAAAGCATCTTATAACGCATCTGAAACATTCGTAAGTGCATAAATGGATGAATTAATATTTTAAGTATTCCTCGTGCGATATAGATATATAGAATTTATTTCAATTAGGACTGGAGTGAAGAAGTTGAATTAAATGAAAAGTTAGAGCAAGAACATTTAAGTCGTAGCTCGTCCGTGTTAAGCATACGGGAAAGCACCAGTGTACCGCGAAGTCAGGCCGTAGGTGAGAGTCATAGGCGACGTAAAAAAAAAAAACGGGACAAACATCGTGATGCTGATCGGTAAGCGCAACTTTATAGTTCATTTTTATCTATCTTTTAAAAGATATTTACAAATATCGAAAGATTCTTCGTTTAGTGAGATTGTTTTGAATTATTCAAGTGGCAGGAGCAGAGACAAAGGTCGAGGTAACAGCCGCGAGCGTCAGAAAAATCAACAGAACAGAGAGAACGACAACTATAACAATAATCAAAAGAATAGTAACAATAATAATAGCAGTAGGCGATACGATCACAGAAGGCGTAATATCATTCAGCACAGCCGAGAATCGAGTAAAGACAGAAATTATGGCGGCAGCTATAGAAATTTCGACGATCTTCACAGACGCAGGTACTTCCTTAAAACTTGGATTGTGTGCGCAAGTATTTTTAGATATAAATATCTCCGATTATGTATGAAAATATCGTATTTCAGGAGTGATAGGTACTTGGATGAAGATTGGAGAACTGGGAGAAAAATATCGACTTGTGAGTCGGATGAGGGGAGACAAACTCCCAAAGTTGCCTCTCACACTGCTCCACTTTCGAGCATAAACTCGAATTCGACAGTACACCGGTCGTCGCCGACAGGATACAGTACCGCTCAACCGGGCGTCTTAATCTTGCCTAATGAGACTAGTCAGTCTCCCAATCAGACAGCCACGACTTCTCAGCAAAGGACCGGGCAGCAACAGCAGAGAACGCTTTTCGATCCGAATAATCCATACAAACCTATCGTTATCACTTCACCCGGAAGTAGAGCAGCTGTACAAAGGTAACGGCAACTTCTCTCGTTCTTGCGACGTGTTAATTGCAGAATTTAATATAACAGCGATTTGTTCTCTTTAAGGGATAGTGATATGCAAGTCTCAAGCGTTCCAGTATTTCAATCTAATGTAGGTATCACATCGCCACACTATTCTTTCCATGGCGCCCAATTGGACGGTATGCCACCACCGTACATGAATGACCAAATCGGAAATGTGAGACCTTCGTGGTATGACCCATTTTCAGCTAGGTACGCATTCATTGTGCATTGTTATATAATTCTTGGATTCTTTTATACATGCGTTTATATTACATTACTATTCTTTTTCCGATAGTTTTCACTCGGCAAAAAATCACTGCCTTCTATTGGACATAGAACGTGCCGACCTGGAACTACAATGGATAATAAGTTCCGGCGGGTTTACCTCGCGTTTGGATAGAGTCTCGTATATACGACACTTCCTTCAACAGAGTTTAAAGATCTTGCTTGAGACTGATATCAAATTCTGCCAGGCGGAGAACGTTGAGCAACACTTTTGGAAGATATTGTTTTATAATCTGATCGAGATGTTGCGAAAAGCAGTGCCCAAAGAAAACTCTGAAGGGCGAGAACGTTACAAGCAGATAATGTTAAATATCATCGATGAGGGTACCACTTATCTGGAAAGTTTACTGACTACTCTCGAGACCACGTACCAGTTTAAATTGGATGCGTTCCTTGCGTCATCGAGTCTACCCAAGGGTCTTGGTCTCTTGGGATTGGCCTTAGTCAGTGCTCAAAAGATATTTTTATTCTTGGGAGACTTGGCGAGGTACAGGGAGCAAGCAAACGAAACGAGCAATTATGGAAAATCAAGGCAGTAAGTGTTTATAATATACAATCGTGACAGCGATAATTCTAAAGATTTACCATATTGAATTTTGTTTTCTGTGCAGGTGGTACTTGAAAGCACAGCAAATTAATCCTAAAAATGGCAGACCTTACAATCAGCTTGCCTTACTTGCGCATTATGCGGTAAGCATTTATGAATCACATGTTCGATATAGTAAATTTAACGTGTATTTATACGTAAATATACAGTTTTCACTGGGCTTATATTTTGCGCGAGACACTATCGTGTTCCTTGATATATCTTTTCATTATTTTGTCGTGTTTTCAGAGACGGAAATTGGATGCAGTGTATTATTACATGCGATCTCTTATGGCGTCCAATCCTTTCCATTCTGCTAAAGAAAGCTTGATAGGGCTGTTCGATGAAAACAGAAAAAAGGTAAGGGAACTTATGAAACGTAACGTTAAATCGTTTGTATTTATACTAACGTTAATAATATTTTGATTTTCTTTTGCCGCCAGTATCTACATTATGTAAGTAAATTTTGATACTTTGTGTGAACTCTCTAGATGTTTAGTCATCATTTATTTAGTCAAGGCTTTATTATCTGTTTATTATTTTACTGCTTGTTACATTAATTAAATTTTCCATTTTACGTGCTTATTGGAGCCTTGATGTTTCAATCAGTCTGTGTACTTAGAATCTTTATATTTTATTAACTCTTGATGGCAAACGCGGCGAATTAATGCCTTTTGCACACAACTATTAGTTAGTTAAAAGAGTAAATATTATTTTTGCATAGACATATCTGCCATTAGCTAAATACACTTCTGCATAGCTGTTTTTTTTTTATAATAATCGCTCATGCGAATGTTAGCTTTAATAAAAAATTCAGAACACTATACAGAAAGAAAACCTGTACAGAATAGTGTAATAATAGAGAGGTAGACGGCACCACTCAAACTTTTAGAGAAATTCACACAAAAACATAATATCTGCTAACGATATGCCTGCAGCATTTTTGAGACTGCCCGTTTGTGAGAACCAACGTTCTTAAATTTCCAGAAATGCTTCGCTGCGAGTCCATGTTAGAGACTCTTCTTATCTTCGCTAAAGCTCTGCACATTTCGTTAGCATGCACTTATCATAGACGCGGGAACTTGTACAAATGAGGAATACAAACATCGTCCGATGGACACTCTTTGTACGACTAGCTGACTATACAAAAGGAGTCCCGCAACTCTATCGTCATCTCTACTCCGATAATAAAATTTTTCAACGATAATTAGTAGAGAATTTGATAGAAAACCACCGACTCCCGGTTTTATTTAGGCCCGTATTCTGAATCCTTTTTTATTGGATAAAAGCGTCTCTAATAAGCTTTCTGATTGGCTATAAACCACTTTTAGAGGCGCTTTTATCGATAAAAAGAGGATTCAGAATACGGGTCTCAGTATATCACGATATTTCGGTAACTAGATCGCAAATTGAATTTCCGTTGAAGAATCTGTGAATTAGAGAGAGATTTGGTCACGAGTCACCGTGCATAGCGCCGTGCAGTGCCTGTATCTTCCACACTTGTACATACAAGGCAAAAAGATGTGCATATAACGGCAAATGTAATATACACGGACAATTGTAAATTTTTGTTTATATCATGCACTGCATCTGATACACGATGCATCGTAGATGCATCAGGTATATACATGGTAGAGGTACTTTCTCAGTAAACGAAATATTCTTAGTACGAGTCTATCGAACGTAAACGGAAGGAGGAAAGGGAGTCGAAGGAGCGGGCGAGGATGAAGGAGAAGGAAGGTGCGAACATTATCGGCGGCGGACTGAGGAGAGAGACGTGGATTCATCCAGGTGACGGGAGACGGGTGCGACGTACAACAAGCGCCAACGAAGCGAGATTGTCCCACGCAAGCGACTTGGAGGAATTATCGCAATTAACGAGTGTCGAGGTACCCATTTCCGTTTCAACATCGTATTTGCCTAACTTCCAAAAGCCGCATCTTCCGTAGCGTGCACCTTTCGCAGCTGCGCATCTGCTGAACAGATGCAAAATTCTTTTAGCTCTTGATACACATATATATTGATTTTTTTAAGTTGACATGTTTTTAATAAAACTGTTGTTAATAGAGGAAGATCTATCATGAGATAGACTATAAATAGTAGGGTTTCTGCTCTATCAATAAGCATCATCTGTTGGCTCCATCAGGTATTTATTGTTCTTGAAATGAAATCTGATTAGTTGAAAATTTAGATCGTGTAATCGTTGCGAAAAAAAGATTTGCGATTGAAATTGGATGTCGAAAGCTTGCTATCTTTAGAAGATTATCTCATAATAGCGAACTTCTCTCTATATTTTTAATACATCTGATAGGAGACACAATGTTCTATTATTTCACGGTTCTATATCTTATTTTAGGTGAACAAGCGATTCGTCACTTCGTACCTTCATGTGCACGGGAAGCTCATCACCAAGATAGGGTGAGTGTTTTCATTGATGTTCTTGCACGTTTTCTGATAAGAGAAAGAAAAAACGCGCCGCTGGCAGTTGTATGAAAATTCGTTTATGGCTAGCGAGCAAGTAGCTTAATGTCGCTTCCCAACACACTGGCCGATATTTGCATCTTGCAAATGCGGCTCGTACATAAATATGTTCAGCCTGTATCTCACCGTTACATATCTCAGCGGTGCGCACACTGTAGATTCTATCGAGCGGAACGAATCGCCACTTCGTATTCCGCTCGCGCGTCTGTTAAAGATTGATAAAAACTAGCGTATATCTTTCGGTTGCCCAGTTTCGCATCATTGGAATAACATGTTTATATCCCTCTTAGTCCACATTCTCTCGCAGAGTCGTTCATACGTTACAATAGTACGTTACGGCTATGGTTGTGGCTCTTTTTTTAATTTGCAAAAGTCACGCCAGACCTGTGCAAAACGGATGAATAAGCAGCTTTATTTTACAAGTAATATTACATATAGAACAAAAGTAAAAGTTTAAAATAAGATAAGTAAAAAATTATAAACTTGATTCAGCTGTTATTTTTAGCTGTTGAATTAATAATTAGCAAATGAACGAATGCGTTTGGTATACAAGATTTGCCACGGTACATGTCCCAGAGGATCCGTTTTATAAAATTCCACTTTTTATAAAATTATGATTTTATCTATAACTTCGAGAAACTCTTACAAAGATTATCTTTACTGTTCTAATGAAATTCTAATCATTAGATAAACGAAGTGTACGCGCTCTAATCTAATGCGTTTAATCTTATGGCACTTTCATACAGAGTTGAGAATTTATCGTTAGTATTCCGGCTATTAGCAACAAAGTAAGGCGACCGCGCGAATAAATAAATTCCGCTCCTGCAATAAATAATCAGAACAACCTCGCGGTATCGCGATCGAGCCAGAAATGGCGAGTCGCTTAAAAATTCGTGGCTGCGCCTCGGCAAGTTTATAAATTATCGTCGATCTCGCACGAACGGGATATTATTCGCGCCGTTAGAGCGTCGTGGAATTTAATCTAGACCGACTACTAATCCAGAAATATTGCGCCACGGAGTCTCCGGATCGCGTCCGGTCGGCCGGCGCAGCTCGATTAGCAGTTTTCAAAGAGAAAAATAAATTGGGATGGGATGTATGCACATTAATAATGGTATTAATCGCGTCTCGCGAATATACGAGTGAGAGACGAGTCCACGTTGTTTTCTTAAGTATCAAGACGCAAGTATCCGGAGATACATATGTATCTGTATATGTTCCTTTGAAGGGTGATCCTCAGATATTCTTAGACTTTTCTTTTAAAGGGGTAAGGCGTTTTCGTGAATTCTTCATCGATTTTTTTGTCAATATTTTACTCGTGGTTTCACAGTTCTTCTTCGTCATACTATTTTATAAAAGAATTTCCTTGCTTCGTTTGATATTGAGCGTACTAGTAATATCGGACTCCGTTCTTCGTCTCGAAAGTAAAAATAAAAACAACAATTAGTCACGTTACGCAACAGAGATGTGCGAGTCTAGGATTTTCGACATCGCATTGAATCGTATTTCATTTCGAAGCGAACTGAATAGAATTGTCGAGATATAATTTTTAATTAACAGTACAATTGTTATTATATTAAATTTTAACACGTTGGTAATAAGAACTTTATGTGGAAAAGTAATTTTGATATTATGTAACAAATTCTTTTTAAGGTAAAAAACATTTAAAGTCAATTCCTGTATTTAAGGATCGTCTTGAATATCTCTCGAGATATTTCGTAGTCGGTAAAATGATCTGTATAGCTTCCACGCGGATCATTTTTTGGCTGAATACTTTTTGAACATGTATTTAAGACAAAGTTAGATATAAAAATGGACTGTAAACAGGCCTTAAGTGTGCACTCGGTGCGCACTAGTGCAGGCAATCGAATTCGCCATTAGATTTGAAATTTTCGAGTAATCAGTTCGAATCGCAGAATCGAGTTTCACTCGATTCGATTCGATTCGATACGATTCGCGCATCTTCACCCCGCGATCGATCGCCAACGTGTTGGATTTGTCTTGCAGGGAGAGTCGACGGGGTGATAAAGTCAGGTAAAGAATGCCGCGCGTGTCAGTCTAAAAATATATACGAATGCGATTATTCGCCCGTCGTTGCCGAATGCCCGGTACTCGGGGCCCCGTGGTCGCGCGCGCGCGCACACGCGCATCGCTTTCGCGACCTCCCGGTGGAACCCCGTCGAGCAGGGATCAACCGCGGGCATGTAGGTACGCCGGCTTTACGGTACGTAGCCCCGTGTTTTCTTGCGCGTCGGTAAAAATGTTAATTGACAATTGCGTGGCGCCACCACCGACCGCAGCGAGCCGGCAAGGGGGCGGAAGGAAGAGGAGGAGGAGGAGGATGTCCTCGGTCGCGCGTCGTGACCTTGCGAGTACACCTTGCGCGATACCCCCGCGACCATCAGCGCCGCGAGTTCCTCCGTCGACGACTCCCTCCCGCCGGCGAGATTGCCTCCCCGCGAAATTTCCGTCTCGTAAATTCCCGGCTTTGTCACGAGCGAGGGGGTAGATGGCGCGATCACGGTTCCGAATCCGAGAGAAGCGTCGAAGGGTTGAAGGAGGACGGGGCGAGCGCGCAGGACGAGCCGAAGGGGAGGAGGAGGAAGAAGGTATGGAACGTTACTCCCGATTACTCTCTCTCTCTTTCTCTCTCTTTACATGCGCCACTAGAGGCTACGTCGAGAGCGCGCGCTCTAACGCGGTCTATAATTGGAATCGGTACCGAACCGGTGCCATTGGTTAGGGGCTTGTTAACGACACGGTACGTGCGCGGCATAGGCACACGTACAGACCCGCGGACGGGTGGATGGTAAGCGAACGGTGGCTGGGGAGGGTAAACGGCGAGGAGGCGGCAGGGGGGGGGGGGAGAGGAGATGGGAGAAGATGGGAAGACCGGAGTCGCGGACGCGCGCAGTATACTCGGCTTACGGTGTGTTGCTTGGCTGCTGGCTCCCGCTGCCGTAATGGATTTGGCTCATTACTGGCTGTAGGAGCACCACAGTGTACGTCCGGCCCTACCGAGTTATGCCCAAGGTTGCCCTCGCGCAACACGGCCCGTCGCGAACCATTTCCTCTCCGTGGTATCGCGCTTTTCGCCCGCCACCACCGAACCCTTCTTCTCTCTCTTTCTTTCTCTCTCTCTCTCTCGAGTTTCTTTTCCACGACAGAAGAAAACTTTTTTCCGCCATTTTTTCTAATACCAGATCCAAGAAAGACCTGCGCAATTTTTGATAATCGAGACTGTTCGCCTCGATAGGGCTTTTTCTTACCAACACGGCAATTTTTCAACCCCATTTTGTACACTAGCTTTGATCGCAAGTTTGTTCAAAGGATAAAATTCGATAGAAAAATTAATGATCTGTGTCGAATTAATAATTATCCCGCGATTATAGAGCGGGAATTTTTGATCTCAATTTCTGTATGGATCGATTTTGAAATCTGGATCATCGTAGACGAATGTATCGATGGTAAC